AGTCGTAGCACCTCAGAATGCGACCAAGCCTGTTGCCTTGTGCAGCCTGCCCCATGGGGGGAACTTCCCTGGGCCCCGTTTCGCCGCGCACGGCGCATTGCAGCGCCAGCGCCGCATCTGGCTTCGCGACCGCCTGAGCGTCTGTCTACTTCTTTTTGCACTTCTCGCACGGGAAGGACTCGACGTCCACGAGCAGTTTGGGAATGTGATTGAAATTCAGCTGCGCCGTCGGTCCCATGCAACTGGCGCCCATCGTGCATTCTGGGTTTCTGCGCTTCCTGCAAGTCTGGCAACTCGGCCTTTTGCAATGCGGGCGTCAACAGCCGTGCCACCCAGGAATGCGATCGCACCTGCTCCGATGCTTCCAGTGCCCGAGCGGGGGTCCTGCCTTCTTCTGGTCAGTCTGGCAAAGGGCGCGCGACTGCCGCCCCTCCAGCGCCCCTTCGCAGACCGGGCAGATCGCTCGCCGATCTCGAGCTCGCCTGTTGTGCCACATGGGTGAGGAAAAGGCTGCCGTCGGCTTCTTCCACTGGCGACCGTGGCGCCTTGCTTCGGCGGCGATGGTGCCGCGCGGGTTCGGAGTGGGCAGACTTCCAGAACGTGCGCGGGCACCCCTCGCGCGGGCGGCGCCCCCCCGCCCCCGCGTCGACGGCCTCCCCCGCACAATCGGGGCTGCGACTTAGGAAACGCCCCAGTTAGCCATGGCGAAGGGTCCAACTTGCTGCGATTCAGCCTCTACTTCGGATCACCGTTGCCTTCGACGTGGGACAGACAAACAGACCGCGGCTGCCCCGGCCCTTGGTTGTGCGCGCGACGCTGCCAAGTCGCGCCCTTCAGCGGAATCGCATATTTGCTCGCTTTCGCGGCCCTGCGGCGAAGCCCGCCCGCCCTGCGCGTCGAAGACCAGATTTGGCACGGGGGCGGCAGTGGACTGAATGGCTGCGCGACCAGCGGTTCGTCGGCTTAAAGAACACGCAAAAAGGCGACATAGCCCATCATGGCTGGCGCCGATGGCGGACAGGGCTCGCCCTCCCGGCCTGGGGGGGCTGCGTGCAGCGCATGTCAAGGTACCAAGTTAACCGCGGAGATGAAGCTCGGCACTAAAAGGGGGCCCTTCAGCCAGATCCCCATGTCGCACAATGCCCCAGCGCCAGCATTAAACGCATGTTAGTGACCACTCCATCGGAATGCTTCCTCCTCGGCGCCAGCGCCCCAATGCGCGCAACGTTGGGAAGACCGGGCAAGACGAGATTGCCATCTTCCGCGCTCTTCGCCGGGCGAGGTCCCTCTCCGCAAGCCCCCGCCCACCGTGGATGCACTTCGCGCCGTTGCGGACGCCGCGCTCTGCGAGCTGCGCGCCGCGGCTGCGGTCGACGCGGCGAGGCGCGTCGACGCGAGCAAAAGGCGAAGACAAATGCACCCAGTCTCCTCCGAATGGCAAGCCAATTGTTGCCACTTGTTGGCGCAATCCTTGGCGCGCGACAGGGGCGGGGCGCCCGTGGCTTGAATCCAGGAAGACGATGCTTCGCTGCGCCTTGCAACGTTTAGGGCGCGTAGCTGTCCGAAGTAGAACGCAGCAGCGCTGCGCGGCGCAGTGAGAATTGCTCCGGCGAGGCGCGGGCCCACCGGCCTCGCGCTGTCTTGCAGCTCATTAGCGTCTAGCCGCCGCGGGCGCGCGCGCCTCTTCCGCTCGACCTAACACGAGTAACATTTGTGTTTTGGATCGCTAAGGCATGCGCCCCACTGCCCGCTAGTGGGACACGGCTTGCGCGCGCAACTACTTGCGTCGTGAACGCAGCTCCTGTCGTCGCGACGGTGGCGCCATGACCGGCTGTGTTCCTTCGCGGGTTGCTCGCGGTGGAAATTGCGCAATCGTCTTCGCTTAGCGCGACGCTTCAGCGTGCGTCGGAAATGCCGCCGAGACACATGTCTGCGCCGCTGCGCTCGTTGGCGTCCAAGTGCAACAACCGCTATACGGAACTCCACTTCTGCAGAGCGAGGTGCTAGTGAAGAGCGTCGACAGCGCGCCAAGCCGCATTCATTCTCTCTGCCGCAGTTCGATTATCTACCAATCGATAATCGGACATCACAAGAATTTGTCATGTGTGTCGGAGCTGCCCCCAATCTTCAAAACACAGCGTGTTCACTCCGCCGAGTTTGCGGACTTGTGTGTTTGTGCCTTCGAAAATATACATGAAAATTATGGGCGCTGATTTGCTTCCTCATGTTACCCTGAAAGTTGCCCGTTGTCTCCGCCCCAGTAGCTCCCACCTCGTCGACACAGATGAAACGAAACGCGCCGCACTTGATGAGCAACGAAGAATGCAAGTCGTCTTTGTCGCGAGACCGTGAGCACATCACCGTTCCCCGCGCATCCTTGAACGGTACTTCGCCCCAGCCGTGCGGAGTGAATCCTCCCATGTTCAATGCCATAGAACTGACAATGCAATGTCGAAGTACTTACGCAACCAGATCCTGGGAGCCACTGCGCCAATCGAAGAAACAGAGCTTGTGAAGGGTCTTCTTCTCCCGTCGATTACGCAACACATTTATGGTGGGCACCGCCGAATATTTCTTATTCCACCACACGTCTACACTGGACAACGTCGACTATCTTCACTATCTCGGATTCGGGGCAATAAATTCCTGCGGAACCTTGTTGTTCACAACGCCGACCCACTGTTTGTGCGTGGGGCGGGCGGGCGTCGCTGGCGCGCGCGCGCGGCCACGCTCCCGACGACAATGCGCACAAGATATGTACCCATATCCACAGTCGCAGTGGATCAGGGTGAAGATCTGGCTCCTAGGGGCCAGCTGTCCATCCATATCTACTGCGCATCGGCCTTTTGGCGCCCCTTCCCAACAAGTCCAAGACGCTGCGCATATGGGTATGAAGCTTGCCCGCAAACGTGGCCAACCGAAGCCATGAGCCGCGCACTGGCTGACGCAAAACTTCCACAAAGCCCAAGCGCGGTGCGGAAACAACAAAACCATTGAGTTTTTTCGCCGGCGTGCCAGTTTCCGACGGGACTGGCGATGGTAAAATGGGCGCCGTGCCCAAACGGTGGCGCAACATTTGGGCGACATCATCGAAAGCGAATGCGACATTCTGCTCTCAGGCGCGGCCCCGTTTTCGACGAGTGGCCAAACGAAAAATCTAAACTGCCAGGCGAGATCTGCACGGCGTTTGGCCGCCATAGCGGCGACGCAATTCCAAGCGAAATCTGTCATTTTCAAACGGAAGGTCCGCTCGCGCTCGGCTCCACGCCAGACGACTTGGTAAACGAACAACGTGCGCCGTTCCAAAGCGGAAACGCATTTCGCCGCTTACGCGCGAAGTACACCGCGCCCCACTCGAGTACTCGTGATGCGTACCTCGCATCATCGACAAAAACATGTTAGCGTTGAAAAAGACCTCGGCCTAACATGCGTCTTTCCATGGTCAGATGGCAGGGCCCGGATTGAACCGATATCGCCAGCTAGGTGGCAGAGCGGGAGCATCAACTGATAAGGAACAAGGATAAGAGGGGAAGGAGGAGGAGGAGGAGGAGGAGGAGGAGGAGGAGGAAGAGGAGGGAGGATTGAGGATCGATGCTACGGAGGTGTTCGGGCTCTTTGGGGGGCTTCTGGGTCGTCCTCGTCGCCACGGCTGGATCCGTCCCGAAATTCTGGCCAGAACTCAACCCAGAAGAGCTGAGGAGGTCGGCCTCGAGAGAGGTGGGTCCAAACATCCTCCATCACGGAGGAGGGCTAGGAGGTCGATGGCGGGGTTTTCGATCATCCCCGGGGAGGGGGGGGTGCCTTCGACCCCGACACCTGAAACGGTTTCCATCTCCTCCTGCCGCCTTCTCTTCATTCCACGGGGGTGCCCGGTTTCCTCCGGGGCCGTAGGCGACCCGACGAGGAGGAGGAGGAGGTGGAGGAGGAGGAGGAGGAGGAGGAAAGAAGGAGGGAGGAGAGAGGAGGGAGGAGGAAGGAGGAGTGGGGAGGAGGAAGGAGAAGGAGGAGGAGGAGGAGGAGAAGGAGGAGGAGGAGGAGGAGGAGGAGGAGGAGGAGGGAGGAGGGGAGGAGGAGGAGAGGAGGGGGAGGAGAAGGAGGAGGAGGAGGAGGAGGGAGGAGGGAGGAGGGAGGAGGGAGGAGGGAGGAGGGAGGAGGAGGAGGAGGAGGAGGAGGAGGAGGAGGAGGAGGAGGGCCCTTCGGAGAAACCCTCCACACGGGGGGGGGGGATGCAGGCTCCTTTGGGGGAGAGCTGGCCCCTCGTGGAACTACAAGGACAGCACTTTCAGGAAACCGCAGGATACTATGTTGTGAGTGCGCTCTGCCGCAGCAACCCAACTCGATATGCGCAACCTTCGCATGCGGACACGGGTTGGAATTACTGAGGGAATGGGTACACTCGGTCTCGTATCTGCTCATGGGCAACGTGACGCTTACATATTGCGGCTGCATGGCATCCCAACCGCGTGTGCATGGATGGGGTGCGATGCAGTACTTACGGGATGCTCCTCAAGACCAACCAATCCATTTGTGTCATACACTCTGGCGTAGAATGGCCCTCGTCCCGAAAGGTATCGCCTACCTCACAACACTAAGACGTGCGCACTTTTTCGCACATCCAGCCAGCCTCCCCCCCTGGACGCACACCTGTGCTTTCGTTGGGGCTGGCGGTCTGCTCGGAGCGTCTCGAATAAATGCTCGAATGGAAAATATCGTTCTCTCATCGGCTGGTCATTCTTATAATGACCTGTACCTTTGAACCCATACATGTCATACTGGTCAAACAGCCGTGCCACAAACCAGTAGAATATAAATCCTCTCGTCCATCCCATCGGGTAATAAGAAGACAGCAGATGGCATTGTGCAGCTGGCCGAATCAGGAGCGGCTTGCCTGGATTGCCGGCGAATTCGCCATCTTTGTGCATCCTGCCGCAATACGACCTCCATGGGGTGAACGTCTCTAAATCAAACTCAAGTATATGTTCATCTCCCAACGGTGCCACCTTTGAACATGCCACGTGAATATTAAGCTTCACCCCCGTTTCGCTCCTCTCGAGTTTGTTGCCGACAATTTCGTTGAAGCGCGCGACGGTCACATGCCGGTCTATCTCAGAGCCCAGGCTCATGTTCGAGATGCTGTCGGCTCCACCAACCACTGCCAGCGGGCTCCGTGCCACCCAGTCCGTGAAGTCATCGATGCTGGGCAACCTTTGAGCGAAGAAGGTGGTAATGTTGCCCGTCGTCACCCAAGCCTTAGGGCTACTGTCGAGTTGCTGTAACAACTTGGTATCCTCGTTGGTCCACGTCTCACGGAACGCGAATATGTCCGCTGGCTTCAGATGGCTCAAGCGCTGCAACATGTCAAACGCCTCCAGGTGCAATTGGTAGTCCGGATCGTCGGAAGCGTTCGGCCCGTCCAAATACGCCTGGACCATCTCGAACTGCATTGCCGTGACATTGCTGTCCACCTTACTTTTTCCCAACAGCGACGGAACCCCATGGCACGACACGACACGACCAACGAACAACAAACAAACAACAAGAACCGGAGGGAGGAACCAACGACAGGAGTCACGGCACGGCATGACACAAACGACGGAAGATAGACGAACGACAAATAGCGTTGCAGTCCACCTCACAGGCAACGATAGCGGGTCAGGAGGCGGAGCAGGAATTCGCACCACGAAAAAATATAACATTGGTGCTTGCCATCCAACAACTACTTCAAATGAAAACCTGGTTCCGTGCAAGAGATCGATTTGGAAGCCCGCAATGGGTACGGAAAAATGAGTACAATGCCGAACAACAAATGGTGTCCCAAACCAGCAGCGGCCGCTGTTGGGCAGGCGGTCTTCTGTCCCGAATGGACACAGGCCGCGGCGGCGCGGACAGCGGGCCCTGTTCGAAAGGAACAGGGGAACTGCTGTTGAACATTGTGCCCACTCTTTCCGTGCCCATCTCGTTCGGGCAGAGAGTCCAGGCGTCTGGGGAGGCGCACTGTGAACGTCGGATGCCCGAGAGGGACAGCGGCCGACGTGGACCATGCGGGCGGCAGCGGGCGGGGCATGAGACAACACGGGGGGCCGGAGGGGGCAGGGAGGGCACGGCCTGCGCCCGATCCCTCGCCTCTTCCGCTGCACGGCCAGGGAGCATCCCTCCCCACCCGCCTCCCTCCCACGTCCATCCCAGGCCCCTGCATCATTGTCTGGTCAAGCCTGTTGCCCGCGGAGGTCTGGACACCTTCCCGGGTGCCAGCTCTTCACTTCGAATCGCTTGACAGTCCCGGGTCCCGGGAAAGGGCCACCGCCCCTCTCATATTCATTCACGACGCGAGCGGGTCTGGGTCCACCACGTCCCTATCTCCGTCCTTCCAACTGTCCGCTTCCGCTGAAGATCGGACCGTAGAGCCCGCGTGAACAATCCTCACAAGTTTTCCGGCCAGGTCCTACCGCGGACGCAACGAAAAGGTCCCAGGAGGACAAGCATCGGCCAAGGCCATGCCAAATTCCCTCCTCCTCCGTCTTTCGCCCTCAAACATAATTCACCCCAGTCACGCTACCAGGCGTGTCCATTGGCCAGGCTGGGCGTTTCACTGGAGACTTCCCCCAAACAAAAACTAACAGCTTGCATGGAAGGAGGGCTGGTCGCTACAACAAAAGAAGCTTTCGCCATAGTTTTGCGCAAATTCGTTCGTTCAAACATTTTCCAGCTGCTACACGGATGGAAGGCTGGCTGCTTCCAACATGCGGCGCTCACTTTAGCACCGCGCTCATTCAATTTCAATATCTCTACATCCATTTCAATAACTGGTGCCTGATATTTTCGTACATGCGATTCTCGTCTCACTACCACGCACACTCGGATCAATACCATCCAGCGGTGACACGTAAGGAGGAGGGTCGATGAGAACATGTGGTTGGCACTTCGCACCGCGCACATTCGTCCTAACGGCTCCCATCATTTAGAAGTGCGGAGGCATGCTCGTTCTCCACAAGCGGCTCCCGGCAGAGACAGGCGACAACATGGCCAGGACTTTACAGATGTGCACCGCTTGCACGGATGGAGGCCTGATCTTTTTCAACAAAGGCGCCGTCGCCAAGCACGTCGCTTCTTCTGGCCGGAAAGAAGGAGGAGGAGGAGGAGGAGGAGGAGGAGGAGGAGGAGGAGGAGGAGGGGGAGGAGGAGGAGGAGGAGGAGGAGGAGAAGTGTAGGAGGAGGAGGGGGAGGAGGAGGAGGAGGAGGAGGAGGAGGAGGAGGAGGAGGAGAAGAGGAGAAGAGGAGGAGGAGAAGGAGGAGGAGGAGGAGGAGGAGGATGAGGAGGAGGAGGAGGAGGGGACTAGGAGGAAGAGGAGGAGAAGGAGTAGGAAGGGGAGGAGGAGGAGGAAGAGGAGGAGGAAGGAGGAGGAGGAGGAGGAGGAGGAGGAGGAGGAGGAGGAGGGAGGAGGAGGAGGAGGAGGAGGAGGAGGAGGAGGAGGAGGAGGGAGGAGGAGGAGGAGGAGGAGGAGGAGGAGGAGGAAGAGTGCCCGTAGCCCTGAGAGGGGTCAGAGCTAGCCGCGCGACGGGGCAGCGGCGGAGTCAGTACTTCTTCCTGGTGTGGCCGGCACGGTCCGTAGGACCCCGCCCCTGCGCCATGTGGACAGGGCGCCGCTGGGCGTGCCAGGCAGCGCGCGCCGGGGTCGGTGACCTTCTGGTGCTGCCGGGCCGCCCGCGTAGGTCACCGACCCAAGGGGCTGCGGTTCCCGGCAGATCGGTGGGACCTGGACGCGGTGGGCGGCAGCGCGCGCCAGCGCCTCTGCCACCTCAGGGCCCGGCTGCAGCGGCCCTGGACGATGTCGGAGCAGGTTGTAGGTGTGGTACAACGTGGCCAGCCGAGCGATCGTTCGGGGCAACCCGTTTTCGCCCTGCGGGTCTGCGTCGTAGTCCTCCTGCGTGCCCAGCCCGAGGCGATGCAGGGTGCTTTCGTGTGCAATGGTGCGCGAGGCCACACACACACACACACGCACCACCAGGCTCCACGGCACTCCAAGTAGTACGATATCTGGTCAGTGCCGTCCTCGCATTGCCACCGGCACGGCAGTCGGGGATGTCCCACGTGCATGCGGTACGAGGTGGGCCAGGCGCCTGCGAGGGTGCGGACGGTCGCCCAGCAAGTGCCTGGGGCGGTGGTGGCCAGCTGGGCTTTGAGACGCATCCACCTCTGGCGGAGGTCATGGGGGACCGCCTGGGCAGGCCACCAAGCACGGAGGCGTCGGCGGATCGTGGCATCGAAACTCTCGGGGAATAACTGCTGGGCAGCTGCAGCCGCGTGCGTGCGCTGCAGGCGGGGCTTGCGCGCTGAGGCCGCCACCGCGCGCAACTCGTGGCAAGCTGCGGTGTTGGCGGCTTGCAGGGCTTGCCGCCGGCGCCGCTGCAGACGCTCGCTGGGCGCCTTGACCGCAGCGGTATGGATGGCCAAGAGGTACTGTACCATGGACTCGGTCTGTTCCCAGAACGGGGCGCCCCATCGGCCCGAGATAACGATGGTGGCAGGGAGAACGTCCATCGCACGCTCCCGCCACGCGTCCGCGAATACCCTCCAGTCCGCCAGCGTGGCGTGAGCGGCGCGCCAGGCAGCGGCCCAGGCAGCAGGCAGCAGCGCAGCCAGAGCGGGCCCGGGTGACCAGCTGCCTATAGACTGATCAGGTCGGCCATCGCGAATGACTTCGGCGGGGCTTTCAGGATGCGGTGCAACTCGTCGAGCTCACCCTTGATGAGGCACTCCGGTAAGGGCAGCAACTGGGCCAGGTACATGAGGACGGACACTGTGGAGCCGTTGTGCAGCGTTATCACCTCAGCCGTCGGAACAGGGACGCTCTTGAGCACGGCCGCGCGCTGCTTGTACTTCGTGGCCGCCGCCTGCCAGGAGTCCAGGAGGGACGCCCCTGGGCCCAATACAAAACCGAGGTACTTCACCGTCAAAGAGATGGCGAAGTCGGACCAGCTCGGAACGCATGCCCTGAGTGCGGCACGAACGACATCGCGGGCCGCCGGCAGGTCCGCAGCAGCCAGCCACAGCGGCACCAGGACACATTTGCGGGGCTGTAGACGCAGGCACGCGAGGCGAGCCATAGCGCAGAAGTGAGGCTCGATGACGCTGAGGAAGCAAATGTCCCATAGAACTATCCCCATGTCATCAGCACAGACGCCGAGCTCAGCGTCCCGGCCAGGACCGATAAGTGGCTCGTCTCGCGGTGGGCGGCTGGCCAGGGAGCGCGAGGGAAGCGCCAGCGCGCCCGCCATGGCCTCCACGAGCGGTGCGGTGGCCAGTGCCCATAGGGTGCCCGAGAGGGGGCAGCCCTGGGCAACGCCAGTGAGCACCAGGCACATGTAGTAGCACCGCGAGCCGATGCGGGCCCAGCAATGTTGCCCCTCGTAGAGCGCCCTGATCAGGTGGATGTAAGAGTCCGGAATCCCGAACTGGCAGAGCGCCGCGAAGAGCCACCCCCAGGCTAGGCTCGGAAATGCCGCAGCCACGTCGAAGGAGACGAGGCACGGTCGGCGTCGGGCGAGCTCCTCGGGGAAGTCGAGCGTTGCTATCCTTGCCTGGGCGTCGAGGCGCCAGACGTTGTCCAGGAGGCTCCGCCCGCGGACGAAGCCGCGCTGCGTGCTCGGGACGTGCCGCTCCGCGACCACTCATAGGTACCAGTTGGCCGATGCTGCCATCAGCTTCGCGTCCGAGTTCTTGAGGGCCAGTGGGCGGGTCTTGGCGGGCTCCCGCGCCACTTGCACAGCCGAGGGGGCGCCGTTGGCTTTTGGAGCGAATTGGAGCCACGATGCATTGAGGCCCTCCGGAGGCGTCTCTCCGCCCATGAGGGCAAGCAAAGCCGCGTGAAGTCGCAGGGCAGCGCCTGGGGCCCTGGCCCACGCCGCATAGGGGATGCCGTCGGGGCCAGGGGCTGTGGGGCGGGCGCGGCGGGCTGCCCTTTCCACGTCCTCGACTTGCGGCAGCGGCAGCTGGGTGTCGGGGAGCCTCGGGAAGTGGCACTGCAGGTAGTTGTGGATCTCGTCGAGGGCGACCTCCTTGGCCGCGAAGATCGGCCCCCAGCGAGCACGCAGGGCAGCAGCCATCCCAGCGGGGTCGCTGGTCAGCCCATGGGCCGCGGGCTCGTCGGCAGCGCCGCCCGCGCGAGGGGGCGCGGCAGGGCGCCCCCCGGGCTGGAGAATTCCGGCCAGGATCTGCACGCTTTGGAAGGGCCGCCAGAGCTGGGCTTTCTGGGCCATTCGCACGGCCCTGCCTTTCCAGAAGGCGCCGCACGCCTGCGCGCCGCGCTGCTGAGCGGCGGAGGCATTCGCCAGGGCACTCTGGCGGTCCCGGGCGAGCACTGAGGAGGCAGCTGCGCGGACCGCTGCTGCGAAACCCGCAGGATCTGAGAGGGCGACGCCGGCGACGCTGACCGAAAAGAAGGTCCTTAGCACTGGCGCCGAGTTT